GAGTGGGAGGGGACAGGGAGGGCGGCCGAAGGAGGAGAGAGAGGGATGGGGGGCCCAGAAAAACAGGCCCGTGGAGCCCGATGCCGCGCAGAGGAGCAGCGAGGAAGGCCGAGATGCCCGCAGGCGGAGCACGGGCCGCGGCGCGCGCCGCGGGGAGGTCCGGGCCTGACCCGAGACAGCTCGCCGCCGCCGCCCCTCCCGGGGAGGGCGAGGGGGGCCTCGTAGAGCGAGCGGCCGAGGGGGGAGGGGGCGCGGGTGGGCGACGAGGGGCGGGGCGAGCGAGCGCGGCAGGGAGCTCCCGAGATCGAGATCCTCGTCGTCGTCGTCGTCGTCGTCGTCGTCGTCGTCGTCGTCGTCGTCGTCGTCGGCGCCGTCGTCGTCGTCGGTGCCGTCGGCGCCGTCGTCGTCGTCGGCGCCGTCGGCGCCGTCGGCGCCGTTGCCGCCATCGGCCGCCGCCCTCCGCTCACCAGCCGCCGCCGCCAGCCGCCGTCATCCACGGCCTCGGGCGGGCCCGCGCCATCGGCGGCCATTGGCCCCTGGCCCGCGGCGGCGGCCCCGCCTGTCAGCCACGCGCGGGGCGGCCGCCACCGTCGGCGGCGCAGGCGCGCGTCGGCGAGAGCGCTCCGTCGCCGCCGCGCGGCGGCGGCATGCGCGCCGGTACCGCACGCGCCGTCGAGGGCGCGCGCGCGTCCGGGCGCCTGGACGCCGGGCCCAAGCAGCTGCGCACGAGCGAGGGCTGATGATGATGATGATGATGATGATGATGATGATGATGATGATGATGATGATGATGATGATGATGACGGTGATGAGGATGGTGATGATGATGTTGATGATGTTGATGATGTTGATGATGATGATGATGAGGAGGAGGAGGAGGAGGAGGAGGGGGAGGAGGAGGGGGAGGTCCCAGCGTAGAGGATTCCGAAGATCAAGCCTCGCCTACTGGCAGGAGCGGCCTGTGGAAGCACGGGTGTGACAACATCTGGTATGGCACCAAGTGGGCGATTCGCAGGAGGAGGGGGAATAGGACGCGGAGGACCAGAGGAGCTGGATGACGCCGAGGTCACGCATGCTGCTGGGGCTGCCGCCGCCGGCGCCCAGTTCAGCGCCTGTAAAGACCGGTGCGCAGCCTGGACGGCCGACGGCCAGACGCTGGCAAGTACCGGAATGGCGTGGTCATTGAACGAGTAATGCGTCCTGGCCAACACGGAAGCAGATCGCAACGAATCCCAGCCCCCAAACTCCAAAGAAACGAAGCGGATCACGGTGGCGAGGTACACATATGATGTCCAATGTTGGAGTCACGATCTGGAACAGCTCGGGTAACTGCGGGAAAGTGTCGGTATCCGCAATCAGACCCGAGCGGCCGCAAAAAAGTGCAAGGTCGCAAGCCGTCGGGGTGCGGAATCCAATGAGACGTCATCCACGCATCTGCCATCGAATGGATCAAAACCACCGCGACGCATGTGGGGGCACTCCGCAACACGGCATGATGTTCCTGCCAATCCACCACGACGAGGTCGCCGACACGATCTGGAAGCAATTTCACCAAACGCTGATGAAATTGTTTGTGCAATCGGTCGGAAGGGGCGAGGGTAACAGCAGCAGCAGCAGCAGCAGCAGCTCGTTGAGGACGAGGCTTCGAGATTCCAGGAGACAGCGATGCCATCGCAGCGCCGACAGCGAGCTGCAGTGCAGGCTTTGGGAACGCTCGATGCTCCGACGTGCTCGTAGCCACCTGCTCTAAAATTTTGCTGTACGAGCGCGCGGCCCAGATATCCAGACACAGAAGTTCATGGGTAAGCTCATCCAGAGGACGGTCGCGTCGTCGCTACTCAGCTGCATGACGTAGCTTACGTGTCGATGAGACATGCCCCAGAAAGACTGCGGAGCGCACCACCGTAGCGCATAGAACGGAACGCCATCCATTGATGCAAGGGCCCCCCCAAAGCCACAACACCGGCCAATCATCATGACGCAGCGCACCTCCAGGAAACTGAACGACAGAAACAATCATGCTGTACTCATCAGCCAGATCTCGAAGGGCGGTACCGCGAACTGGGCCAGGTACGACAATATAAGTAACGCGCGAGGTGTTGGACAACAGTGCGGAGACACTTGCAGGCGCGCACCTACGTCCGATGGCCTTACTCCCAGCACGCATTTTGGGAAAAAACATGCCCCCAGAATTCAGCTGAAGTCACGCCGGGTCCCATGAGAACTTCCAAATCAACAACCGAGGCCACAATCTGGAAACCAGCCCATTCGGGTACAAGTGCAACGAGACGCTATGCAGGATGCTGCCTAGTTGATTCGAAGAACGCCGTGAAGAGAGGCACGACGTGACGCTTGGCGACTTCGAGGTGCAGGGTGGCCACAAGAGCGGCGACCCGCATGGCCCGAGCGAGCTTCACGAAGGCTCGTGGCGTGAATCGTACTGCCCCTATTTATGTCGTCCGTGCATGCTCGAACGCTCCCGTGCTCAGGCGCCTCGATGGAGACTGCAATGTCGACCAAAAAGCGGGGCGGTGCTCAAGGCGTACAGGTTGCCGCTAAGCCCACGCCCTCGAACGATGCCTGACCTGAAGAACAGCGTAAGGTTTTGGCTGTCCCCGACAGTGACACCACGCATACCGCTGATCTGCGGCAAGCATTCAATCTTTTCCCAACAGCATGTCCGCCCCAGTTGCTGGCTGCCTCCCGCACCCGCGGATGATCAGATCCATTCCCCCTCTTCTCTCATCCCTGTGCGTCCGGTACCGGTGCATGCGATAGGGCCTCGTGGCGCGCGTGGCGGCACTGGTGATGGTGGCGGCGGCGATGCTGGCTCTCCCTCGAGTGGATCATCCTCTGATCGCAGCACCTCTCGCCGCGAACAACGTCGTCGTGACAAATCGCGTGGCCGTCAGCGGAAGGCGGCCGGCTGGGACCAACACGCCTCAGAACGCGCACCAGGGCCTGCTGGCGGATCCTCCGCTGCCGACGCCCGCCCAGGCCTCGGCGCAGAAGAGCTGGCTTCACTTTGAGGTCTTGCTGACATCCGCTTCGCAGTCCCGGCCGGGCAGTGCGCCGCTTGGCACGCCAGTGCCCCGCGACGCCTGGGCCGCCGCTGCTGCGCGTCTCCCAGGTCGCGGTGCCGCTAGCGCCTCCCGGTGCCGGCCCTGTCTGCTGGTCAGGGCAGCGGCCCGTCCGAGTACATGTCCCTCTCACAGGACCTTTACGACAAGAAGGTGGCAACCCGAGCTCTCCGACTTGCGTCAGACCCGTCACTCCACAGTCAACACCTCCGTCCAAGAAGCCATCGCCTCCGTCATGCTGAACGCGGACTCCTTCAGGGCTTCGGCGTCTGGCCTTCCTGGGCAGACTGATTACTCCATCCAGCAATATGTTACCCCCCGGATCTGCGACGTGGATCGCAAGTTGCAGTCCCAAATGGACGTTCACACGCGCTGGCTGGACGACCAACAACGGAAGATGGACCGCTCGAGCAAGGGGCTGCTGCTTGTCGGGCCCCTGGTGGCAAGATGTAGAAGAAGAGAGAACACGCGTAAACATACACTTTTGTCGCTCCGCGCGGATCTCTTGGATCAGCGCTGGACGCCCCCCTGGCGCGCGGAGCGCGCCAGGGGCCTCGCCGGAAGCGCCGCCGGGGGGCCCCAGCGCAGATCCCACAAATCCGCGCCGAGTTCCGAACGTTTATGTTTATGCCGTATCTTCTTCTTCGAAGAGGTCTGCCGCGCTGGAGGCTGCGAGCGCGCAGGCCCCGTCCACCTCCACTGCCGGCGCCTCCATTCGTCCGGGACGTCGACGCCGCCATCTTGCGCCCCGGGTGCCATGCCCTCGCCCGCGGGGACCACGTCATGCAGGAGGCCACGCCGTGGCTGCACCCCCTGGGCCTCGACGCCCTCCGTGCGCGCCTTGCAGGGCCCCGGCGTCGCGGAGGCCTTCGTGCTGAAGGCTGCTGGCCCTGCTGCTCCTGCTGGCCGGCGCGTGGCCAAGGCCCTGGGCGGCATGCAGCGCAACAGCGAATGGCTCAGGTGGGCAACTCCGTGCGCCTGGGGGCAGGGCGCCAGTGCCGTGCACATCGGGGCAAACAGGATCCGCAAGCAGATCCGCCTCGAAGAGTTTTGGGCGAGCGCATCCGATCGGCCCTGGCCCAAGCGCATCCGCAGTCGAGATGGGTGCTGGACGGAGAGCTGGGCCGGATGCAAGCCTCGTGGAAGCCGATCCTCAAGGTCACCCCTCAATCAGGGCGTCAACCTGCCGAGATCCACTTCAGCGAGTCCGTCTGGCACTAGGTCGGGCCTGTCCCGCTACAGCTGGATATTGGAAGGAAAATCAAAAATACTCAAAAACTACCCCCGAAATATCAGAAAATATGCAAACAAATCGTCCCCCGACGATTTTGTGACCATGTTTGAAGATTCCCCCTGTGCAGGGGGCAGGCCCGACTTCAGTCTGGCACCGCCTGGGCCTCGACAGGGGGCGCGTCGAGCGCGTCCGTCGCGCCAGTCGTCGCCCCCCGTCCCCGAGCTCGCGCAGTGCCCTTGACGCGCCCGTGAAGCCTGATCCTCGCCCGCGAGGGGGGCCGCGTGCTGGGGCTAAGTGGCTCCCTTGGCGGCCGCCGCTCCTCGCAGTGGAAGCGCTCGCTCGCTTCTCCGGGCTTGCGGCGCACCTGCCCGCGAGGGAGCCGACTGCGGCCAGCAGCTTGCTCTCGCATCGGCTAGCGCCTAGCTCTGCGGGAGGTGCACCAGGGCCAGCTCCAACCTCGTGAATGTCCGAAGCCTATCTTGCCTGACGCGCATGTCTTCTCTTCTTATGACTTCTCTCTGGTCGGGCAGAACCAAGGAGCCGTGGCCAAGGTGCTCCCCAGCCAGGCCCAACATGGTCGTCTTCACCATGACCCAAATATCTCGGGACGTGCTCAATGACATGAGTGGAACTCTTAGGTGAACATGGGTTTTCTCTTGTACGTTGCAATGTGCATAGTTTTGGGATCACTGCTGCGGAGATGGCGATGTTCAGGACTCGCTTTCTTCAGGGCTAAGCGTGGGCAGATGAACAAGCCGACTCTCGGGTGGTGGCTTCGCACGGGGATTTGAATCTGGCCGGCGACGACCCCTTCTTCTCGACAGTCCCCTCCGTCAGCGCTCTGCCGATGCCGCCGCGGCAGCTCGTGCTCATGGTGGTCGTTGGCTGCCGATCTTGGGTTGCATGACGGAGTGCGCTTCGGCCGACCACGCGCATCACCACGCTGAGTCGAACATCCTTGCCACGATCGACCGTTTCTTCATGGGCTGGCCTGATTGGATGATGGTACAAGCCTCCTGGACATTCCCGACGGTCTCACGCCTTGAAGATCTTCACAAGAGCGGAATGAGCGACCATGCGTGCCACTGCGTCACTGCTCACCCTCGACGCCCCGATGTTGGAATTGGCCGGCCGATCAGCAAGCGTAATTGTTCGTCGCTGCTTTTTGCACAAATATGGTGCAGTCTCTGACTGATGCTGACGGCTCGTACGCATCCATGGCCCCGCCGACAAAGCTGGAGCGGTACACGTATTTTTTACGGGAAGCTGCACGGGATACCCGCGACGCCCTTGTCTGGAAGTCTCCCACGGACCCCAGGACCCTACTACACAGAATTCGCCCAATCGATCGCTAAGTGTGTTTGGCGTAACGATGTTGATCTTGCTCGACGGTTGTCCCATTCACACGCTTACGCTGCTGATGTTTTGGTGACCCTTTCTCGAACTCAGGACAAGGTTCACGCGCTGGTGGACTACTTGAAGCCCGTCTTCTCGTTGAAGCCCTGGTCGCCATCCAGTGCTGTCGCCTACCTGAGCCGGCACTGCCCGCAAGCGAACGCTGCTTCCTTCCCCCCGCCTGCTTTCCGCATGCTGCGCCGGGCGGCTTTGCGCGCTCGCGATTCTGGACTGCATACCTTACTGTGCTTTTCTAGTCTTTTCTAATTTTTCTTTTTTGTTCTCGCCTGTGGTCGTGGCCAGATCACCCATCTTTCCCGAACCGGCCGGCGCGTGCGCCACGAGGACGTAAGCGCACGCGGCGCACGGCGACGCGGGTAGCGAAGGGCGGGATTTAACACACGCCCCGACGAAAAATCGAGCAGGGACCGACCGTCCTAGCATTCCTATAGGCATGACGCGAAGTGTTTCCTGGAACCAGGAGGTTGCTCTGACCAATGGCCTACACAACGAACGTCTCAGCTGGAGATGTTCTGGAAGCTTGTTATAGACTAACCACCAAAGTTTTTCAGAACGTGTTCTGGTGGACCTTTTGGCAGGCCCAGAAGCATCGTCACTGCCTGCAATAAGAAGGGGAGCCACGGCGGGATTCAACACACGCCCTGACTCACCGCAAGCGCCAGAGGAGAGCCAAGCTCGGAGCGGCGCGCGGGCAGCACGGAGGCTTCCGCCGCGGAGGCGGGGAAGGCCTCGCCCTGAGGCCACTTGGAGAGGGCCGCGCAACAGCAAAAACAACTGAAGCCTGCAGCTCTGCATACAGCTGGATTGTCAGAACGGACTACCACAGGACTCGCACGATGCCATAGGCACCCTGCACCGGAGGCGGCGCGCCGGCTCCAGCTGTGGAGGGCGGTGCCGGCTCGACGGCGACGCCCCCGGGTCGCCAGGGCGGGCGCGCGGCCTCAGGCGCGATGGCGGCTGCGCAAAAGCTGCTGGGCTAGGCCGGCAACGCCCCCGCTGGCAGCTGGGAGCTCAACAGCCACACGCGACGGAGGCTCGAGGAGCGAGGACGTCCACACGAGGTCTGACGCTTGCTTCACTGAATACGTGATAGGCTGGCGCTTCCGAGTGTGAGTTAAAATCACAGGGCTTGCACATCAAATGTGCAGCGAACTAGATTCCACAGAGACCCCTTGGTCTTTTCTATTGTTATGGGAAGTTATGGTCTAGTTGCTGAGTGGCCATTCGCTGTTCCTGGCCAGCGGGGACACTCCGCAGGCCTTCCTGCTGAAGGGTGCTGATCCAGAAGACCATGTGATGACTGGGCATGTCTCGCGACATGCCTCCAAAATGCAAGTTTTGGGCAAACGGACCACCCACATGAAGTTGCTGAGCGCCTGCCTCAACTACGCCATCAGCCCTGTCGTTGACTCGGTTGTGCCACGACTTCAACGTGGATTGACATGTGGCCGCAATTTCGGGCTCAACATCCTTGGCCTGGATACGTTTGCCAGGTCTTGCTCATTTTCGCAGAACGCGTTTCAGCACATGCCCGCGCTGGTATCCCAGGACTACGGCCAGGCGTTCCCGAGCTTATGCCAGGCGTTTATGATCCTGGTCTTCAGGGCGATGGGCGCGCCGATGGTAGTTGTTGATTCTATCGTGCTGTGCGCGCTGCCGCTGGCTCAGTAGGAGGAGAAGAGGAAGGAGGAGAGGAGGGGGACAAGGATGAGGAGGAGGCGCGACCAGATCGAAACGAGTGCGCAGAGACGGCGGGCAGCAGAGGGCACGAGCAGGGAAAAGGGGCTAGGGCGCACAACACGACGACATAAAAAGAGACAGCCGACGGCGGAGGCCGACTGCAGCATTGCACACGTCAGGGGAGGCGTGCAAGCAAGACAATGGCGGAGCACAGCGGGGCTCCGAGCGGAAGAGCACAGGATTGCCCAAGGCAGTCATGGCGCCAGGGCTGGCCGCAGGGATGTTACCCTGCAGTCAGCCACGGCGCGCCAGCACGAGGCGGAGACGCGGCAGCCCGAAGCGGTGAGCGCAGACGCGAGGGGCCCCCAACGGCATCCCCCAGCCTGCGACCACTACCTCGCACCACCCTTCCCCGCCAGACTGGCAGACGAGCAGCAGCGGCGGTAGCACTCGCAGGGAAAAATACTCAGGACTCAGGCCGAGCGCGTCCGACGCCTGGACGACATGTCCGCGAGAGGCTGCATGTCCCAATCGAAGGCGGGGTCGCAGTGCGCCTTGCAGTGGCCACGGCTATCACAGATGGCACACGGAATGAAGCCGTCCGCAATCTCCTCCCAGAGGTCGTCCAGGAAAGCCACGCTGCTGGAACGTCAAAAAAAAACCCAAAGCACCGCAGGAGGTGGGCGTCGGCACTCCTGGTACCGATCGGCGACAGAGCGCCCCCATCGCCTCCAGAGGCGGTGGGGACGCCGCTGGCAACAGCCGCGGCAGCACCCTGCTCGTTCTCCTTCACTTCAACCAACATCCTCAGACGGGTGATCTGGGCCGCCAGCTGCCGATAGCGGCTCTGGACGCCGAGGAGGGCGTCGGTGCGGTCCCGCAGGGCGGCGCCCTCGACCACGCGCCCGCAAGGCGCGGGGTCCGGAACGCCAACAACTCCAGGAGCGGCACGGCGGGATTGGACTGCACCAGCACCGGCTCCAGGAAGAGCACGACCAGGAACACCACCATCAGCACCAGGTGAGACGCCTCCCCCAAGGTCAGCGTGGGCATCACCAGGAACACGGCGGGCGTCACGGAGACCACCAGCACTATCATGAACTTGATCCCCACTGGACGCCCGAACATGGTGACCGCAACCGCGAGGGAGAAGGTCATCCCGAGGCCCAGCATCAGCACGGGGAAGGCGTATGGCGGCCAGGGAGTCCAGGGAGCCCTCCTCCAGGGAGTCCTCCACCAGGGAGTCCGTCGTGTCTCCGACCCGTTCGGAGACGAAAGGAGCGGCACAGGAACGAAGCACGGCGCGACCTCCAGGATGCCGATGACCGCCCACATCAGCGCGGAGGCCTCCAGGGATGTACACCGCCGCATGGCAGCGCAGTGGTGTGCTCGGAGCCGCCGCGGCCAGAAGGTGCCCAACCAGGGCAGCGCCAGCGGCAGCGGGCATGCAGGTCAGGGCCAAGATCTCGGGGGCCACGGCCACGGCATCCTCGCGACCAGGAGTGGCAACCGGTGCGCCGTCAATGAGCAGCAGCATCAGCAGCAGCATCATAAGCGGTGAGGAGGAGGAGTAGGAGCAGGGAACATAATGAAAATGAGACCGAGGAAGACGGAGAGGGGCAAGGAGGAGGAGGGAAGAGAAACGGAACTAGCAGTCAAAAAACGCAACATAAAAAAGAGGGGAGAAACGACAGGATTTGGTGGCATAGCGGAGACACCTGGGGCGGAGGCATGTGGGATGATGATGATGCCGCTGCTGATGATGATGCTACTGATGATGATGATGATGCTGCTGATGCTGATGGTGACGATGATGCTCATGAGGATGGTGTTGATGCTGATGTTGGTCATGGTGTTGATGGAAATAATGATGATGGAGCTGCTGATGATGGTGGTGGTGGTGATGATGACCATGATAATGACGAAGGCGATGAAGACAGTACGAGGAGGAGAAGGAGGAAGAGGAGGAGGAGGAGGAGGAGGAGGGAGACCTGAATTCGCCGGCCCAACGGGCCAGAGGCGTGCTAAGATCTCCGGTAACTGCTCTACAATGTTTCTACTTCGCGCGCGCGGGGCGGCCCCTGGGGGTCCCCAGACGAAAAGTACCCCGACCAGGTCCCGGCCGGTCCCCGGCAAGGTCCCCGGCAAGGTCCCCGCAAGGTCGGGCCAGAGATGCCGGAGCCCTGTTACAGGGCCCCAGGACGGGCCAAGAGGCCCCCAAGAAGCCTCCAAGACGGTCCAAGAGGGCCCCGAGACGGCCAAAGATCGCCCGAAGACGCCCAACAGGGCCCCAAGACAGCCCAAGAGGCCTCCAAGACGCCCCAAGGGCCTTCCAAGAGGCCTCCGAAGAGGGCCCCAAGAGGCCAAAATCGTTGATTTTCATTGTTTTTTTCGCTGTTTTTTGCGTTCTGGCTTTTTCGGCTTCCGGACGCTCCAAGACGGCCCAAGAGGCCCCCAAGACCGCTCCAAGACGGCCCATGAGGCTCCCAAGACGGCCCCGGAACGGCCCAGGAGGGCCCCCAAGACGGCCCAAGTGCCGCCCAAGACGGACCAAGAGGCCCCAAGACGGGCCCAAGAGGGGCTCAAGAGGGGAACCGAGAACTGAAAAATCGAGCCCTCCGCCCCAGAAGGCGCCCAGGAGGCCCCAAAAAGGCCCCAAGAGGCCCCCAAGAGGCCCCCAAGACGCCCCAAGAGGCGCCCAAGAGGCCCAAAAGAGGCCCCAAGAGGCCCCAAAACGGCCCCCAAGAGGCCCCAAAACTCGGCTAGCCCACAACTGTGCGACAATATGGGCCGGCGGAATGAGCGAAGCGATTAAATAAAGCCAGGACGAATCAGCGATGCTGCATTACACCCTCCCCCGTCCCCAAGTCGCCTGCTCATAAGTCCCTTCAAGTATATGCCTTTCCATTGCGGGAAGCGCCCCCCTCAAATGACAAGTGCTCAGCGTGGGTGGGTGGAGAGGAAAGCGCTTGGTGCCTGAAAGGCCGTGCGCAGCTAGCCCAGCGCGCTAAACGGCTCCTCCTCCTCCTCCTCCTCCTCTCTCCCTCCTCCTCCTCTCCTCCTCCTCCTCCTCCTCCTCCCTCCTCCGCCTCCTCCTCATCCTCCTCCTCCCTCCTCCTCCTCCTCCTCCTTCTCCTCCTGCTCCTCCTCCTCCTCCTCCTCCTCCTCTCTCATCCTCTTCCCTCCTCCTCCTCTTTCCACCTCCTCCTTCTCATCCTGCATCCAACTTCTGATCATGCCCATGGCATGCGAGTGTCCGGACAAGTATTCCGTTGGCTTGCTCGGCAGCGCTCGGTGTGCAGCGCTTCTCGCACGACGGAGGTCTGGTTATTAGACGCGAGTGCTCACTTGGGACGTACTGCTACACAAGATCCTTCTGGCATGCGTGTTTGGGCTCCGACGTCGCACCCTGATTGCGGAGGCCATTTTCCTGCTGAGACGAGCTACGCCGGGTCGTTGTTTCTGGATGTTCTGGGGGACGACATGCGCTTGGTCAACACGTTTTTCCTTTGCGGCTCCACTTGCTTCGGCCCCCACGGTTCACAATCCATCGTAGATTATGTAGCTGTTAGTTCCGATGTGCTCCCCCGCGTGCAGATGGTTGATAGTTAGCATTCAGCTGGGGATGTCTTGCGGCTCATTCCAGACACGGTTGCCCGCGACCTCAGACTCTTCGTTGTGAAATGGATCTCCGTTATTCCTTCTCTGGCGTTCTGCGGAGCCTTTACTCAGCTAACCGCTTGTGGAGTAAGGAAGCGCTGGGGCAGGGATGCGTCTTGGATCGCATAATCAAAAACACGATCTTGCATTGGAGTCTCGTTTTGAACTGCTTGGCCTGAGCTGGTTGCTGCCGCTCTTGATGCTGGTCCTGATGCTCTCGATTCTCGTTTTTGTGATATCGCAATTGATTGTGTTGCTGAAAATTTCACGGTCTTTCATTGGAAACGCCCTGACATGCTGAACTAGGGGAAGGATGTCATCATCCGTCGTCGCAATACTCGTGCTACTCAATCGGCATGTATCTTCTTTCCTGCCATGGACGCGGCAGCTACCATGGCGCATTGGGCGCTGCTTCCAATGATTGGACTTCTTCTTCTTGGGCTTGGATCCACCGTTCGCTAATTTTTTGTATGCCGTGCTGTGGTCACTCGTCCTCTTGATGGCCAAGTTCGTAACACTTCTCTTCGTGCTATCCTGTGCAACGCACCGTGCGCGCTGGATCTTGAAGCATGGTACTGACTACCTACCAGACCACCCCAACCCAACCCGAAGACCCGAATGTCGGGCTGCGGGGGCTAAGGGTTCCATCTGTGTTTCTCACATGTTCCCCGACACCCCCTCCCACTGGAAATGGAGGGCAAATTTAGGCCTTCGGGTTGGGTTGGGGTGGTTTGGTGGGTGGTGAAACACAGGTCAACGTTTCGACAGAGTGGGTGCGTATCGCCACGTCTTTCTTGCAAATGCTTCGAACTGGCTGGTATATTTGTCACACTCCTCCCGTTACGTACTCGCCCCCTCCAGTCTCTGTTCAGTGCACTCGCCGTCTTGAACTTGAGAAAGATCGTGCAGCTTAGGAAGAGCGACGTTGCCCGGAAGCTTGGGCCCTGGCGTGCCTCTCGGCGCTGGATGGGGGGAAGGCCCTCGCAGAAACGCCGTTTTTTTTCCGTCGGGTGGCCAGCTGTCGGGCCAGTTTGGAGGCTGAAGCTGCGTGCTTGAATCTACCTGCCCAGGATGGCGGGCTGGGTGCCTCTGAGGCGGACTATGACTCGTTGCTGCCTGCCCGTGTGGAACGGCGCCCTTCGAGTCAGGCTGATATGGATGGGCCTTGCTCGCCGCGGTTCCACTGCAGTGGAAGAGCGAGTGGCCCGTGTCGATGATGCACGTTCTGTTCCTCCTCGGTGCATCCCCAACGAATTGCTTCGTATGCTGCTCGGCCCGTTTTCTGGTCTGACGCGGAGGGGTGCTGGATCGGGTTCTACCGTGTCGCCGCCCGAAACGCCCTGGGTTGAGATGGTTGTCTTGCTGCTTTCTGCTACTGTTCTCTGCAGGGAGCAGGCGCCGTTGCGTCGGCATTCGTCATGGCTTGTAGAGATTCCTCAAGAACACGCTGCATCAAAACGACATGTCGTTCGGGATCTGCTTGTGTCGTGTGCGCTACCTGGTGCATATCCGGCTACTCTTTGGCATCGCGGGTCGCGCGTGTTCGGCCGATATTCTGCTTCTGGCTGTGCTCGCTTCTGGCGCCTAGAATGGGCAAGTTGCATCCCTTCGTGTGTTGCTCACAGATGGCACGCACTTGGTCGTGGTGTCACCGAGTTTTGCTTTGACGCAACAAACGCTTTCGGCTGTCCGTACTTCTTCAAGTTTGCGCAATACGCTCGACAGGCCTTCGCTGAGAGGCCCTACGAGTTGAAGGTGTTCCCCGATTAACTGAAATATTCACTCGTTCGTGTGAGAGGGGTGATCGAACATAAGAGCCAGTCTGCTGTACCCACCCCCGGTGGGGTGGCGCCTGCATAGGGCACATGGCCGCAGGACACCCCGCAGAGACGCGTGCGCCTTGAGGGTCACGCACAGAGAGGAGAGAAGAGGAGACAGTGGGTGTCGCCACCGACCCTGGTCTGGGACATCTTCCACAGTTCGTAATGACACAGCTGCTGGGGAAGCATTTGGTTGGCACTGGAATCTAGGGCCCGCATGGGCCATCTTGTCGGTCCGCACTAGTTCTCGGGCGTCTCCCATGGCAAGATTCATTTGTATTTAGTGCGCCTCGGTGACACGAACATTCATGCATCTTTGTCTCTCTTCGGAGTTGATCGCAATATTGATGTGGGAACTGTCCCTTTCGCTGACGATGCAAAAACGACTTTTGTTGCTGCTGATGATTTTCCGTTTTACTTGCGGTCCATTTTGGGGGCCTCCCAATGGCCTCCCAATGGCTGGAGAATCTCTGGTCGGTGCTCGGCCCAGCATGCATTCCATAGTACAGCATCGGGGTGAGCTTGAAGCAATTGTATATTTCTCGGGACCTGGCTCTCGTACTTCTTATCGCCGTGCATATGATCATGATTGTGGTAATCTTGGTCGTGTCGTACCAATTGCGCGCCATCTTGGCGGCTGGCGTAATCCCCAGAGCAGTTTCACCACCCTCCGCAGGAAGAACTTGAATAGCGCCTACAGAAATTTTGCTCGGTTTGGACGTCTCTTGGCCCATGCCCGCAGAGAGTTCGCTGTACTTGCTATATCGCTCTTTAGTTATTGCGACGACATTGCCTGGTGCTGTTGCTTACGATGCTTCTCGCGCAGACCTCACTCTGATCGACAAGGCATGGAACGATTTGGGGCGAGGGGCCATGATGGCGCGACGTCCTCGTCTCTCTCTTGTGGCCATGCTTTCTTCCCCCCCAAGGCCTCGAGGCGCGCAGCGCGCCCCTCCGACCTCTGGGCGCCGGCCCGGGCTCCAGGCCACCCACCCGACCTCGATCGCGCAGCCGACGACCGCCGAGGCGTCGAGGAGGGCGGCGCCCAGCCTCCGCCTTGGGCGAGGCCGCCGCCGCCGCCCTGCGGAGGGCTCCGCAGGCCCACGAGGGGCCCGAGGTCGCCGCCCGCGAGGGGCGCCGCGAGGGGCTCCGCCGTGGCCAGAGGCGCCGCGGAGCTCCGCGGGGCCGCTCGCGAGGGCGCCCCGAGCGCAGGGCCGCCCAGCCACCTCGAGCGCGGCGCCGAGCCCGCGGAGGAGCGCCTCCGCCTCGCCGCGCTCCGAGGCGCGCAGGCCAGCGAGCCGAGCTGCGCCGGCCCCGCCAGCCGCGGGCGCCGCTCCCGCGGCCGCCGCGGCCGGCGCCGCCAGCCGCCGAGGCCGCTCCGCGAGGGGCCGCGCGCCGCCTCCGCCGCCGCGCACGGGGCACAGAAGGGGCGCCGGCGCGCCCGCCGCCGAGGCCGGCCGCGCCGCCGCCCGCGAGGGCGGCCCGCGAACTCCGAGGGCGCCGCCGCGGCCACCGCCGCGGGCGCCGCCCCCGCCCGCGCAGCTCCCCCAGCGCGGCCAGCTCCGCTGCCGGCGGGGGGCTCCGCGGCGGCCGCGCCGCGTCCGTCCTCCCGCCGCCTCGCCTCCTGCACGGCGCGTCGCCGACGGCGCCGCCCCGCGTTTCCGTCGCCGCCCGCCGCGGCACCACCGGCAGCAGCGGGCTCGGACGCCCTCGGCGCCACGGCGAACGCCACGGCGGAGATGGCCGAGCGCGTCGCCGAGCCCGCAGTACGCCTCGGCGCGCCCGCGTCGACCGCAGCACGGACGGTAGCTGCGACGAGCGCAGCGCCATCGGCCACAGCCAGAGCCCCTCTAGCCTCTCCGCGAGCAGCCATCGCGCACTCGAGCCAAAGTGGCAACGGAAATTCTCCAATGGCCATGTGGCTGCGCCTTCTATTGGTGAAGCTCGCTGGGAGTTGAAGCTCGTGTCTGCAGAATTGGAGCTTCGCGTGGAGCGCCCGAGATGGTACCAGTCTATGTCCAAGACCCCCGGGATGTTTATCCAGTGGATCTGCGCAGTATTCGGTGAACTTCTTGGGCATGCGGTGGTGGATGCTTGGGGGGAGGCTGCTACCCGACGCCAATTCGTGGGCACATCAAATGTCAGAAGATGTTGGAGCCTTAGCTGCGCACGATGAGTTCTCCGAGGTCGCCGAGATCTGCGCGGCTGAGCCTGCCAGCATAGTCTTCGACCCCGAGCTGGCCGGGCGTCTACAAGCAATTGATGCTCGAGTGCTGCGATCTGCTGCTCGTGCGGCTGCCACCCCGCCTCCAGGAGCGCAGGCGCCAGGTGGTGGGCCGGTTGCAGCGTGACCAGCCGCAGAGGCGAGGGAGGAGCCGACGTTTTTCCGGGGAAAGTTTTGAGCTCCGATGGAGACGCTGTGCGGCCGGGGGGGGGGGGGGGGCCTCTGGCGGTGCCCGGGAGGCCCAGCAGCTGCCGAGTTCTTCAGGAAGGCATGGGGCGGCCCCCTGGCATCTGAGGCTCTTTCACGACGCAGTGTTGTGTGTGTGTCGTATGTTTTGTTCGGCCGCGTCCTTCTCCTGTTCTCTCTCTCCCTTGCATGATCGCACAATTCGCTCTCACGGCACCCCCGTTTAGGCCCTTCCGCTAGCGCAGACGACCCCTGCCTCGCCGCCGACGCAAAAAAATGTTGTCATGTTTTTGCTTCCCGCGCGAATGCCAGAGAGCATCTCACGACATTTGCCCGCCGAGGTTTCAGTCACTGGGTCTGGAAGCATTTTCTTTCACCAGCGCATTGTCCATATCCCTGTTGACCTCGACTGCACGTTGTGTGGTTGCAATGAATTTAGTTCTCTCGATTATTTGCATCGCCATCTACACCATTCCCATTTAGCCTCAATCCGCGTTTCAACGACAACCAATGTACCAACACTACTTCCACGGCTTTCTGCCATACGTCATCGTATTGCTGCCCGTGGGGCGGCTGCTAGCAGTCGCCCCGATGAGCGCCCTATGCAAGGACTTCATTCAGGCCCCAGAGGCGAAGGCCATGGAGACGCGTCAGAAGAAGGAGGCTCCGGGCTCGGAGGAGAGCACCAAGCGGGACGAGCTCATCCTGCCCGCGCAAGCTTCTGGCGGCCCAGACCCATTACACCGACCAGGACAAAGAGCTCCAGGTCTTCGAGAGACGCTGGCGAGGTTCACGGAGCCCGTCAAGCTCGGGAGGCACGTGGTGGAAGTCTGGAGCTAAGAAACATGGGACCGTGGCCATCTGTTCCCGCGGTGCTCCTTAAAGCGGTGGGCATCGTGACAACGATTTGGGAGGGCGCCAGCGGCGAGGAGGTTCTCGGGCTGGCCCCCGCGAACAAGCGCGAGCGCAACCTCTAGTGGCACATCATGCGCATGAAGGACTAAGCGCACACGTGCTCGAATGGCTCTGCACAGTGCGGTGTGCACCGCCAGGATTGGTCACTGCCGGACTCGGCGGATTCGTATTTCCGTCGCTGGTCCTGGGGAGGGGATATATGTACGTGTCGCCCCCCAGCAGGTGAGAAACCATGTTCTTGTTAAATGCATTTGGCCGCGTCCCTCACGATGCATCCAATCGCTGGCCTGGCAAACCTGCAGTGTCGCGTCATATTTTCCCACATTCAGACTAGGGATGTGTCTCTGGAGTGTCCTACTTACCTACATACTTCCTCCCTCCTCCCCCTGCTTCTTCCTCCTCTTCCCCTTGGCTAACCAGCGGCTCCTACCTGTCTCCCCAGGCCAGGTCTCGGCAGCGCGGCTGCGCTGGGACGAGCGAGGAGGAACGAGGCGGAGGAGGAGGAGGAGGAGGAGAAGGAGGAGGAGGAGGAGGAGGAGGAGGAGGAGGAGGAGAAGAAGGCTCGGAGGGAGGAGTATCGAGTATTGAGCTATCGGGCGTAGTCGCTGATATCACCAGCGGCTTTGCTGCCTGAGGCTCCGCCTTGCTAAACAACTTAGGCCATTTCCCTTGCTCCAGCCGATGGAGGTACCCTCTTCGGTTTGGAGGGATCCTGTAATCACCTGGCTGGGAGAGTCTACGATTCTGCTCACTGGCGTACCCACCGCGACATCGACATAACACAACTCCCAACGACATCTGGAGTCGCATCGCGTGCGAGTGATCGAATCACCCTCCACGGCTCTCCACGAAAGTGTTCAGCAAGTGAACAGCGGCTGGGGTGGTGGTGGCCGCATTCCATAAGTGTGGCCGCCCAAGGGTAAGAGGAAGGGAGGAGGGAGGAGGGACGATGAGGCATGATGAATGATGCACCCGCCCCTCTTGTCTTTCTGCTTCGCGAAATTCATGGTGATTGTGTTCTCCTGTCCGGGGAATATGTGCACGTCGTGCATGACCGCAACCTCTGTCCGTCACAGCGCTGTTCTGGGAGAAGCACGGAGGATGGGAATGAAGAGAGAGGCATCATGCCGTATGCGATGCGAGAGTGCCAGCACACTCAAGTGCTTGGTATGTGTTGCCATGATGTATCGAGCAAGTACGGGCAAGCTTCGATGACACGCACGGTGCGGTTAGCCAGCGGCATGGGCGAACAGCCCCCGACGAGATAGCTGTTAGTATGAAGCGTGCGCTTCCCGGACGGGGGGGGGGAGCGGGAGCAGGACAGGGAGAGCGAATCGACGACGCGCAGCGACCCTCGACACACGATCAAGACACAACACAAGTAGTTGCTGCATAGTCTCCCCTCTTCCTCACGCACTTGAGGCCTCCCGAGGCCGTGGCAGGTCCATGGATACCCCTGGACCCAGCCCCCAAACGGCCGAACCTCCCTAACCCTTGATCATCGAACCTCGCTCGTCGTCGTCCTTTTCCTCACTTCTCCTTCCCCTTCGCCATCCTCCTCCCTCATTCTCTGCATCCTCCTCACCCACGCGTCCTCGTCCTGCTGCTAATTCCCCTCCGCCCTCTCATCCGATCCCCTCTCTCCTCCCCCTCCCCCCATCCCTCTCTCTCTCTCTCTCCCTCCCTCCCTCCTTCCCTCCCTCTCGTCCATTCCACCCTCGCTCCTCCCCTTCACCCTCCTCCTCCTCCTCCTCCTCCTCCTCCTCCTCCTCCTCCTCCTCGTCCTCCCCCTGCTCACCCTCCTCCTCCTCCTCCTCCTTCTCCTCCTCCTCCTCCTCCTCCACTGTCGCCCACTCCATCTCTCTCTCTCTCTCTCGGCCTCCCTTCCTCCATCCCGCTTTCGTGGCCGCGCTGCCAAGATCCGGCCGCGGCGGGGCGACAGGTGGCGCCCCCGTAGAAGGCACGATACGAGAGGAGGTGGAGGAGGAGGAGGAGCAGGAGGAGGAAGAGGAGGAGGAGGAGGAGGAGGAGGAGGAGGAGGATGAGGAGGACTGTTCGAGCATGAAGTCCGATCGGCGTCAAAGGAAGAGGACCGGATGATGTTCATGATGATGCTGATGATGATGATGATGATGATGATGATGATGATGCTGATGATGATGGTGATGGTGATGATGATGATGCTGATGCTGATGATGATGATGATGATGATGATGCTGATGAGGATGATGATGATGATGATGATGATGATGATGATGATGATGATGATGATGATGATGATGATGATGATGATGATGCTGAGAAGGAGAAGGAGGACGAGGAGGAGGAGAATTAGCAGAGGAGAAGGGATGGGGGAGGGCGGAGGGTAGAAAAGGAGGACAGGATGTTAAGAAGCGCGACGACGAGAACACAGTATAGAGAGAGAGAGAGAGTGAAGAGAGAGAGAGAGGAGGAGGAGGAGGAGGAGGAGGAGGAGGAGGAGGAGGAGGAGGAGGAGGAGGAGCAGAAGGAGGAAGAGGAGGGGGAGCAGGGGGATGAGGATGAGGAGGATGAAGAGGATGATGATGATGAGGAGGAGGAGGAGGAGGAAGAGGAGGAGGAGGAGGAGGAGGAAGAGGAACGGGAGGAACGGGAGGAGGAGGGGGAGCGAGCGTCCCAAGGCAGTCCCTCCTCGCCTAAGGTCGCGCTTGCGCCGAGTCCCTCAGGCTCGCGCTGAGGCTGTCCAGGCGGTCGTCGGTGTCGGGGACGGCGAAGTCGATGTTGCACTGGTCGGTGGAGTCGCACTCGAAAGGCTCGAGGAAGTGGTCGGCGTCCGACGGACAGAAGCCGGGGAAGGCGGCAGCAGCGGTGCCGAAGCCGTGGTCACCGATGTTGAGATCCGCCGCCGCATCCTGGAGGTCAGCCAGCTCCAGGAAGAGCGGGTCGGTCTCATCGGAGTTGCCCACGGATGGGCCAGCACCAGACGGGCTCAGCACGAAGACGTTGTTAGGGCTCATGAGCACCCAGCGGACGAACTCACGCTGATCAGGAGACAGAGCTGGACGATCCAGATGAGCAAGCGCACGGGCGAGCTGCTCGTCATCGAGGAAGGCCAGGGGCCCGACAGGATGCTGAACAGCATCGGGAAAGCCAGGGTGGTGTTCGGCGAGATCTGCAGCAGCGCCATACGCGTGGCCAGGAAGACGAGGCGGAGGACCGCCAGCCGCTCGGGCGAGGGCATCGATGGCACCCTGCAGCGCCTCCAGGGTCGTCGGCAGGATGCCGGGGACGTCGGCCACTGAACGAGCCGCCACAGGGTCCGCGTCAGCAGCGGCATGCCCCACCTCACAGCACCCTCGCTGCGCAGCAAGGAGAGGTGGATGACCTGGTTCAGGCGGAAGGCCCAGTGCAGGAATGATACCCCGGGCAGGCGGAGGGCCGAGTTCAAATGGATGATCCATCGCACGAGGAGGTTTGAGCGCAGGAGGTCGAGGCTATTCAGGCGCAGGTCTCGCGCCAGCACGAGGGCCCAACCCGCGAGGGCGCTCTGGCGCAGGGGGAGCAGGTTGTCCAGGATGGGGCGTCCGTCGGCAGCGGTTGCGGCGCGCGGTCATCAAGCAGCTCGCCGCGCGTGGCGCGCGCGGCGTCGTTAGTCGGCGTTCTGCAAGTGGCATCGCCCGCGGAAGCCGAGCGGTTGAGGATCTTCGGGCAGAAGGCTCGCGCCAGCATGGGGGCCCAGCCCAAGAGGGGGCGCTGGCGCGGGAAGTGGTCTGTAAGAGAAGCAACCAACGAAGCCTGGGAGGCTGCGTGTACACCCTAGGCGATGCTTAAGAAAACTGAAGTTTTCGGCCAGAGTCTCGATTATTCTGAATGTTTCAATGTAAATCCTAAGGTTTCAATGGAAATCCAGGGTCTTTACTCAAATTCTGAGACTATGCATTTCTTAACCCATGATTTCTTCAGCATCTCGCAGGGTTTAGCCCGCCATCGGATACCACCGCGTCATCCCTGTGGCTGCGCCGCCCAGGACATTCCTCGCGCGAGCACCGCGAGGCTGGGCCCCTTGGGCCCGCGGGTGGAGGGGCAAGCCTGGGCGGCGCGCACAAGGGGGTGGGGGGAGGGGGGAGGGCTTCTTAGAAGCAGGCTGCTTCTTAGAAGGCGCCTCCTGCCTTACATCTATAGAAAACGGCCCGCGCCTTCGAAGAAGCAGGGGTGCTTCTACGAAGCCCCCCCCTCCCCCCACCCCCCTCTGCGCGTGGCTGAAAGCCGACGGAGGACATCCGCGTCGCCGCCGGGCGGGGAAGGTCGGATGAGCGGCTCGCAGGCCAAGAGGGGCGCGTCGCAGAACCGCCCTGGCAAGCGCGCCCAAGTTGAGCGCGGGAGGCCAGACGTGCCAGTCAGAAAGCGAGGGCGCCTGCGGACCGCGGACATAGTGGAGGAGGAGGAGGAGGAGAAGGAGGAGGAGGAGGAGGAGGAGGAGGAGGAGGAGGAGGAGGTGCGGCGTCATAGTTCTGTCGGTCGTCGACAATGGCCATCGCTGCCGGGTCCTCACCTGTGTGCGACGGGCATTCGACCTGGGGCGGCGCGCCGCCCTCATTGGGCGGATGCGCATCGGAGTCGGGAGATGACGGCGTCGAGGGAAGCCCGGGCTCACGTGGGTCTGTGCCCCTGTCCTCAGGGGAGGTCTCGTGGAACCAGATCAGCGGGTTCGGTTCAGGAGCAGCAAGGAGGCTCCTCACCAGGGTGCCAGGTACCAGTCGAAACAACCCATTCAAGGAACCGCGCCCTCGCATCGAAATCCACACGGGACACGTCAGGCTTCCGCGTCAGTCTGGGCCTGTGGATCTGGAGCCAGTGCAGAGCGGCACTGAGGGCGTCGTGGTCGCCCAGCGGCAATCGCGCGATGAAGAGCTGCCGCGGCCTCTCGCGGCTGAGTGCAGAGTTGTACCAACCAGCTCAGCATATCTCCTCGGCCGCTTGTCTCATCGCCGCAGTGGGGCTCGTGGCCCAGTTGGCAAAGGCGGGGGCGAAACCGTCGCATTGAAGCACTCCAAAGACATAGTCGACACACCAGCCGAGCCAGGTGTTGGAGCTGTCCCCGGGCTGGGCGCAAAAGATGGAAGATGGCCAACCCGCCGCCCACGTGGAGACGCGGTCGGTGAGCTCTTGCCGTTGACGGTGGGCATCCTGTCGAGGAGAGCGAGGGCCAGGACAGCGGCGATCCACCATGAGCGGACGCGGTGGCGACGGGCCAGCAGCTGGCAACGTGACCAGGGATGTCATCTCCAGGATTTGCGAGCCGACGCAAATCAAGTCAACGCCTGGATTTTCTTCCAGTGGATTTTCCGCTCGAGCCTTTCATGCTCCATCAGCCTCTCCATCGGCGTGGGCCTCTCCATCAGCTCCAGCCTGAGCCCCCCCATCAGCCTCTCCATCTTCACTTGGGCCTCTCCAACAGCTTCTGCCAATGGAGCTTCCACTTGAGCATTGCCATGCCAGGCCGTTGACGCCGAGTCGTCTGAGGTGCGCGATCTCCAAAGGCCCGTCTGAACATGCCTCGCAGATCAGCGCGTGCGAGAGAGCGTGATCCACCGCCGCTTTACTGTGGGAAATTCCATCTCTTCCTCCGGAGCCCGCCCCCCCCCCTTCCCCTGGCAAACCCCTCCACCCCCTACCCCCCCCCTCTTGGTGGAAAACCGAGGGGGGCCACCGCCGATTCGAACCCCTCCCCCCTCCAGGAAACCGGAGGGGGGCCACTGCCGGTTCAAAACCCCCCCTCCCCCCCGCACGGTCAAAATCTGGTTCCATTTAACGATGTGTTCTTTCAGTTTTTCCCATAGTTTTTGTCCTGCTTTGAAATTTGTGCACTTCTTCTTGCGATAGCGTTGTGGTGAGGATCCCTTTTGTGGCGGATTACATGTTAATTCCTTTTGTGGTGGATTGCAGAAGGATTCCTTTTGTGGCGAAGCTGATTCCTTTCGTGGTGGATTACACATTGATTCCTTCTGTGGTGGATTCCTGGTGAATT